TCCTATTTGTGGAGGTAAATGTAGCCTAACAACAAATGAGGAAAAAAATATGCCCATAGCCCCCCCGCCTTGATATTTTGGCCAAATTCTGACTCAAGTGTGGAAATGATCTATCTGTGTCTCTGAAGGGGCTTCCGAGGACTCCGAGGCTCTGCTGTCTGCTGTGTTTCTACGTGTGCTGGGGAAGAGTGACCGGGATGAGCACACAGCACAGAGGCCCTCCCCAGGGAGAGCACAGGAGCCGTATCAGGAGTCCAGAAGAGACAGAAATGCCAGGGGAGATGGGTGTGGGGAGACGGGACAAACTCGAGGGTGGTTGACAGAACGTTAGGAGGTTTGAAACGTGTAACCACCAGGACACCGTAATAACCTGCTCCTAACTGCTTCCCCTGCCTCAGTTTCTCCCTTTCAATAAAAATCAATTATTCACGTGACCTCCAAGAGATCTTTCTAAAACATAAATTAAAATGTGGTAGTCACGTTATTTGAACACTTCCAATGTTTCTTCAAAATATAGCTGTAAGGGAAAAACTAGGAAGGAAGCGCATATAAATTAAGAGAGACTTAGAGACATATCAACCAAATGCTTTGGGAGAATCTCATGTGGATCTTGATTCAAAAAACCAACTCTAAAAAAAATTATAAGAAAAACGTGAACACATTGGATATTTGATAATATTAAGGAATTATTGTTAAATTTTCTATATATGATAATGGTTTGGGGTTTCCAAGAAAAAGCTCTTATCTTTTAGAGATACACACTGAAATATTTACAGATGAAATGACATGATGTCTGGGATTTGCTTAAAAATAATTGGGGAGGAACCCACCAGCTGGGAGAGAATATTTGCAAAACATACATCTGACAAGGGGTTGATCTCCATAATATATAAAGAACTCACACAACTGAACAACAAAAAAACAAACAACTCGATCAAAAAATGGGCAGAGGAAATGAACAGACACTTCTCCAAAGAAGATATACAGATGGCCAATAGGCACATGAAAGGTGTTCAACATCACTAATCATCAGGGAAATGCAAATCAAAACAACACGAAGATACCACCTCACGCCCATTAGAATGGCTATAATCACCAAGACAAAAAACAACAAATGTTGGAGAGGATGTGGAGAAACAGGAACCCTCATACACAGCTGGTGGGAATGCAAACTGGTGCAGCCTCTATGGAAAATGGTATGGAGATTCCTCAAAGACTTAAAAATAAAGATGCCCTATGACCCAGCCATCCCATTACTGGGAATCTATCCAACAAACCTGAAATCAACAATCCAAAGAGGTTTATGCACCCCTATGTTCATTGCAGTATTATTCACCATAGCCAAGAAGTGGAAGCAACCTAAGTGTCCCTCGACTGACGACTGGATTAAGAAAATGTGGTATATATATACAATGGAATACTACTCAGCCATAAAAAAAGACAAAATCGTCCCATTTGCAACAACATGGATGGGCCTGAAACGTATTATGTTAAGTGAAATAAGCCAGAAAGAGAAAGACAAACACTGTATGATCTCACTCATATGTGGAATATAAACCAACACATGGACAGAGAAAACTGTACTGTGGTTACCAGGGGCAGTGGGGGTGGCAGGTGGTGGGACAAGGGGTGAAGGGAGTCATATATATGGTGATGGACAAACAAAAATGCACAACCCAAAATTTCACAATGTTAAAAACCATTAAAACATCAAAAAAATAATAATAATTGGGGAGGTAGAGAAGAGGGAAGGGCTCTAAATGAAACAAGGCTGCCCGTGTGTGTAACAGTTAAAGACGAAGGATGGATACATTACACTATTCTACTCTCCTCTCTGCTTCCATAGTTCGGAAATGGCTTCCTGGGTACCACCGACTTTTCCAAGCGGGACCCAACTGACCCCTCCCCGCAGCCTCTGCTCCAGCCTGGGCCCCGAGTCCAGCTCCTCCATTCCTCCAGCATGCCAAGCTCCTTCATGCACATGGTTGCATCTGGGTTCAAATTCAGGACCTGCCACGTACTAGCTGGGTGACCCTGAGCAAGTCAGTTAACCTCTCTGTGCCTTTGTTTCTTCATACATAAATGCTAGATGGTGTACCCACCTCATCAGTTAACTTAATGAGAACAGTTTCTGGCACATGATAAGTGCTGGATGAACTAGCTGCTGTTAGTGTTCAGTTGCTGCTGCTGTTGCTGTTCTCCAACTGGCAAAATTCCACTCCTTTTTCAGGGCCCAACTCAACGCCACATCCTCCGAGACACCTGTCCCATCACCGGGAGATGGTGCCCCCTTCAGCATCCCCACAGCTCTTTAACCCTCGGCTGTAGCATGCGGCACGGAGATGGAGCCTAACCTTTATTTCTGCGGTCGTTCGCTGTGGATCTCTGACCAGAGTCTGTTGGCCTGTGTTCTCCCACCAGATGCTGAGCTCCCAGGAGAGGACCAGTTGGCTTTGGGACCCTAGGCCGAGCTTAAGGTGACCTTCAGTGGGGATGCTACATTCAATAAATGTGTAATTATGTGCCTGCTGAATGATCACAAGACTCATTTACTCCCATCTGAGAAATGAACATCCCAGCTAAATGTTTTCTTCTCTTACGTCTTAGCTATCAGCCAATTTAGACGAAGCACCATCATAAAACTGAAACACACACCTAGAGTTGAATCTTCCAGCTTTCTCAGTCTGATTGATGGAAAGGCACTAAACAAGATGCCCTTCATGATAAACTATGGGGGTGCACGTAAAGCTGCTGCCTCCCCCCAAGATATTCCACAGCTTCCGTTTTTTTTTTTTTTTTTTTTTAAAGATTTTTTTTATTTATTTTTCCCCCAAAGCCCCAGTACATAGTTGTCTGTCATAGCTGCACATCCTTCTAGTTGCTGTATGTGGGATGCGGCCTCAGCATGGCTGGAGGAGTGGTGCCTCGGTGCGCACCCGGGATCCGAACCCGGGCCGCCGGCAGCGGAGAGCACGCACTTAACCGCTAAGCCACGGGGCCGGCCCCCTCACAGCTTCCGTTTTATAGGTCACTAAAAAGCGCCCAGGCCCGGCCCCCAGAGGGCTGCAGGGCCACTTGTCCTGTGCAGCCATCAGAGTTAATTGCAGGAAACCTAAACAGTGTTAAGTGTGCAAGCTGAGAGCATCAAGTTATTCTGAAAGAAGAAAGCATCAGTTATTGCCAGCCGGCCCTGCTACCCACCTCTGAGGGCTTTTTGGCGAGCAATTAACAAAGACACCACTTCCTCTGCACTCGCCACCTGAGGAGCCGAAGCCGTTATGGGGCTGGTGGTGAATAAACTGGAAGATTCCTGTCTCCACATTTCAAGACACAGAACCTCCTTGATTTACTACCCTCGCAATTCCTTTACGGTCACAAAGTGGTGGGACTCAGGCAAACCCCGGCCACCACCAGATCAAACGCTAACCACGTCACCAGGCCATCTTCCACCAGGTTCCATCCTGAGCGGCCCTGATAAGCAAATTAAATCTGAGATGGAAGGACTCCGGGAGCTTCTCCGGTGGAGTGAATTTTCTAGGATTATCTTGTTTTCAATAAGCCCATCGGGGGACCTGCCTAAAGACAGACTTGGCTAGAACTTTCTCTGTCCCTGGTCATTGTCCCAGAGTTGAGTCCATCCCCCAGTCAGCATTCATCTGCCTTGTTTCAGAGTTTACACAGGCGGTGGACCCCCTGCCCTCATGGCAGGAACATTTTCTTTTTCTTCTCTGGGTCAATTCTCGCTCCCTCCCTTTCTCCACCCTTCCGTCCTGCGCACAGTGCCTCAGAGAGAAAAGGTGCTCAAATATCCACTGAAGTGCATTCACCTACTCAGCTTTGGGGGCGTATCAAGCATAAAACTGGAGGTTCAAAGGTTGGTACACATGGAAAGTGCAGAAGAAACTGTGGGGGGTTTTTTAACCTAGAAGTTTTTCCCATAAACTCTCACATTCAAACTCGCGTCTACAATGAAGACTGTTCCTGATGTTATGCCTGAAATAGACAGATGGTTACCAACCCTTCTGCCTGCCCAGTTCTCCTCCAAAGGAGACACCAGGCCAGGTGAAGGGGCTGGACTGCTGCAGGCCGGGAGCACGGGTGGAAATCACCTCCCCACTTTGTGGCTGAGGAGACTGAGGCCCAGGCGCCCCACAGCGACCTGTGGTCAGACACAGGACTGGAACCCAGCTCTCTGGGCTCCACGGATCTTGCTCCACTCAGGGGGGAGTATGATGAGCAAATGGCCTGGCACACAGTAAGAGCTCAATAAATGTCTGAACGAACGGGAGCCGGGCTTGGTAAGGCTTGGCCTCAACTCTGCCCTGAAGTCCGGGCCTTCAGGGGCCAGCAGTGGTTTGACAGATCAAGCCGAGGCTGCCCCCATGCTGACCTTGACCAGGATACAGGACCATGCGGTACGGGAGTTAGGGCAGAATCTGGAGCCAGGAGGACCTGAGTTTGAATCCCGGCTCTGCTCCTGTACTCGCGTGCCCTTGGGAAAGTCCATTAACAGGTCCAAGCCCACCTATAAAACCAGGATAATAATGAGCACCTCTTGAGAGGTGAGAGGTAAACCAAGGGAGAGAATGGATGGAGGGTACCCAGCAGTTATCAGGGTATGAATGTTCTGGAGGCAGGAACACACACTCAGCCTTATTCTCCTTCTGTCTCATGTCTGATGGCTTCTGGAAGGGTCTAAGACAGGGTTTGTATCCCATTCCTGACACAGGTAGGCACTTAGGAAAGGCTTGATGAAGACATGTACAAAAAAATTAATACTAAATGATGAGCTTTCTACAGGAAGGTAGTCACATTTTAAAATAAATCTCCTTTGCATTTCATTCCACAAAGAAATAGTCTACTGAGAGACATAAACAGGGCAGTGTGACACGCTGATGTAGAGGCCCCAAAGGTGCCCCCCTTCCCCACCATCAAAGGCCTCCCTTGTCCCCACACCACATACAGATGGAGCAGTAGAGAAGGGCAAAGGAGGAACTTACCAAGAAGAGCATTGTGTCCATTATCATCCGGCAAGAACCTTTTGTCCACAGCACACACCAGGAGATGGTCCGGCAGGCTGGGGGACTTGGCCCCGACGAGCAGAAAGCCTGCAGGGACATCGATGGGCTCGCTGGAAATGGAGACAAGACGCAGGTCCTTCCCCGCCTGGCAGAACCCTAGGAGGAATAGACAGGGCTCACACACGCTGCCAAAGGGCTTCCACAGAACGTGGGCAAGGGGACGAGAACATTCTGCATCTTGTCAGGACCAACCCTTACCTCCTGATGTGGTTGACTTTAAAATTAATTCTGAGAGAAAAAATTATAACCGTAGTTATTCACAACCCTTACCACATGTTGTTTTTAGGACTATCAATGTCACCATATAATACACATTAAGGTACAGAAGAAGCTTAATAGGAAAAAACCGCAGATAAATGGTGGTAAATTAAAATGCATACGAGATAAATCAGTAAGAAATTGCAAGTGATTTGACATTTTTTACACCCTACATTTTATGTGTATGAGGAATGAGCTAATGTCAGGAATAAGGGGTGGGAACCTGGTACACTCACTGCCTGCCTCTGGGGAGGGCCTGGGTGACCAGGACACAGAGGAGACGCTTCAGCATAGGGACACTTTCACCCTATGCCCTTTTGAACCTTTTGTATTTGAGAGTATTTAAATATATTTCCTATTCAAAAAATAAGTGTCCAAAAATATCTGGAAAAAAGGAAGAAGAGGGAAAGAGCTGAGATTTATTTGGATGGGCCCCTTCCAGAGTCCGTCTCGATGACGGCACATTCAGCTCCATCCCCCGCGCTGCCTCCGTCTTTAGTTACCGACTGAGACGATGAGGGTTACCGTGAACTCCCCCGGCTTTCCCTGCAAAACTACAGTACTTTAAGGACTCTCCTCCTGCACGCACCTGCTTTACCATTGACAAGGCACTGTCTCCAGGTCTCCCACCCACCCCTGGGGGGAGGGGAAGCCTGTGCAGTGGAAAGGCTGACAGGCCAATGCCAGTGCCCACCGTGTGCCAGCACCGGGCCAGGACAAGCTCTGCAAAGCTCTCATGTGACCGCTGATGGGAAGTATTTCTGTGAAGATATGGAAATCAAGGCTCAGAGAGGTTAAGTCAGTTGCTCAAAGCTACTGAGAGGCGTCCAGGATGGAGTTGGGCCTGAGTCTCAGGCTTGGGGCGGTTCCCCTTTATCGTTGTGGGGAAGTTAAGGCAAATTCCCAGAGGCCAGGGTCAAGCAACCAGCAGGTCTTCTATAACCTGGGCCCCCTCCTTCTGAAGAGCTGGAGGGAAATAGGCCGTGGGGAGAGTGTTCACTGCATTTATTTGGAAATTCTTTGAGAATTACTGTAATGACTACTGGAGAGTGTACTGTTCTTTTAATTAGGTGGCCTTTTAACACGTGGAAACTAGAGGTCCTACCTCATGAAGAGCCGTTGTTTTGGTTTCCCTCTCCCAGTGAGGGCTGATTCCCTCCCCTGCCGGCCATCCTGCACAGGGTCAGGACCAAGCCCCCACGCAGGGCCCACGGGGCCTCCACTACTGCCTGATCACTTCTCCAAGCCCTGCCGAGGCACACCTCAGGCCCTGACCTAAATAAACTGCTAGCAGTTCCCCAGATGCCTATAGTCTCACCCCTCTAAGCCTTTGCACATGCTGTTCCTCTGTGTGGAATGTCCCAGCTTCCCCCAACCCTCTCAGTCTCCTGGCTAAGTCCTGCTAATCCTCCAAAACCCAGACAAAGGACTACCTCCTCCAGAAAGCCTTCCCCAAGCTCTCTACCTGTAGTAGGAACCATTGTTTTGGTTCCCCACCCTTCTAGCACTTTCCACATCATGTGCAGTGTCCACATCGTGTGCAGCGTCTGCTTACCTATATAGCTCCATTAACCTGGGAACTCTTGTACCTTTTATCTCCATATTTCCAGAGCGGGGGCTCAATAATTATTTTAATTAACTGACTAAATAACTAGCTAGTGACACCTCTCAGCTGGCATGGTGACAGGACACGTGACCTTACTCCCTCTCAGAGAGGCTGGCTAGCGAGTGGCAGAGCAGGAATTCACTCCAAGTCTCTCTGAGCCCAGAGCACAAGCTCGCGTCTCTTGACTAAGGGGCCACCCCAGCCGGCATCTCCAAGCCTCGGGTCCTCAACAGCAAGTGGGAATAACATTACTGATTTCACAAGGTTCCTGAGATAACGGACAGCTGCCTTTTCAACAGACAAGTACCAAGAGTGTGACAGATTATTCCTACTAATCAATTCTGAGTTAAACACGCAGTGCAAGCAGATCTGAGTTGAGAAAACACATTCTAGTTTTCAGACAACCAAGGGCCCGACAGCCCCTTGGCGTGATGCAGCCACTGTTCCTGGTACCAGAGGGCACACGTGCCACTACCTGCTGGGGGCCACCGGCACAGCTCACACCTCAGGGGCCCAGGACGGGCGTGGGGATCCCTGCAGCTCACAGCCACAGACTCTGGGCAGCAGGGGCACTGCCCAGCAGGCAGCCTCACCATCAGTGGTGCAGCATCCTTCGGGCGGAGGGTGCATCTGGTAGGGATTTGGGGGACAGTTCTGTTCCAGGGCCCCCTCTCCCTCTTCTTCCTCTTCCTCATTGTCCACTCGGCTACCACCTAGAAGTGGGAAGGGGAGTGATGAGTAAGACAGAAGTAAGTACTCAGCAAGTCTCAGCTTTTTAATCACTAATCAGTCCTCACGAACACACCGTAAGTCTGGCATCGTCACCATTCTTTCCCAGAGGGAAACTCTCAGGTTGTGCCTTTCCCAACGTCACAGACTCAGGCTCCAAGCCTGGCCTCGGGACTTCAGATTCAGGTCCACTTCTCTTCCCATCCACATAGCGGCACGTGTCTGCACAAGCACGAGGGTGCAGCACATGTATAACTGTACATGTATAATTGTTGATAAGGACCAAGCACAAAGCTTGTACATAGTGGGCACTCCAAAAATATTTGTGTGGGAGGGACCATGGTGTAATATATAGGTAGACCATGTTACAGATAAGGAAACAGGCTCAGAGAGACCTGATTGGCCCACAGCTCTTCAACCAGCCACTAAGCAGCATAGCCAGCACGTTCCCAGTTGCATCTGATGCCCAATCTGATGTTCTCACCACCAACTGCACTGCTCAATTTAGAACACAAAATACAGTGTGAACTGCCTTTACATGGTCTAAGAGAGCTGTTAAACTATACATTATTATTTATATGCATGTGTACATTACTAGAAATACAAACACAACCAAATTTGTCTCATAGACACACACACTCAAAAAGCATTCCAGAATGTTCTAGAACAGGGCCAGGCCTGTTATGACTTTAAGAAACTTTTTTTTAAGTGAAATAGTATTTTAGGAGTAATGGCAAATGTGGAACTGGCCAGGAGGGCCAGGAACTGGCCACGGAAATCCCACCACTCCATGCTCGTGAGCTTTGTCACAGCAGTAAAAGGAGCTTCTTGTCATGAACCACAGACGCTCAGCTCCTGGAGAGCGGGGCCTCTGCCCTTACTCATCTCTGTAATCCAGGCACCCAGCACAACGCCTCATACAGAGGTGGTGCACAAGACACATCTGTCTGACGGAACTGAGCACGCACAGCGATAACTTATTAACTAGCACTGCCAGAGAAAGGGAGGATTTCCTATAAAAGAATTTTCAAGGCTGTTGAAATATAGTCCTAACTTCTTTTAACAGACATTTTTGGTAAAAATCTTTCTCCAGTTGTCTTATCTTTAAATGTCATTTTATAAATAGCATACAGATTTCTTCATGGAACAGGGTCATTACGAGCATCCTTAAACACATTAGGCCAGGAGACAGCTGTTTCTTCTTCTTTTGTTTCTGTCTCCTCTGTTCGTGCTGGCTTCTCTCCTAGAGAGAAGCTTCTCACCATTTCTCGTAGTCTCATCTTTCTCGGCTCTCACACCCTCCCTCCCTCCATCCAGGGGGTTGAGTGGTTTTAGGTTAGTGATGAAATCACGTGCAGTGGAAAGAGATGGGACTGGGACTCAGGGAACTCAGGTTGTAGGACTTGGGTCTGCCACTGTTAGTGTGGCCCCAGGAAAGTTACTTAACCTTTCTGCGTGTCAGATCCCGCATCTTTAAAATGAGCTGGTTATATAAGGTCACTTTGAGCCGTGACAGTCTGTGTGGGGAAGTATGGCCCTCAGGGTTGCACAGAATATTACAGATGTGATTTAATCAGTACAGGGTACTGGGAACATACCCTCACAGTGGCCACCATTTTAAAGGTGCTCAGAGGACAGGAGACTAAATATTCCAAACCAGCCTGGGCCCGTGACTTTGGGAAGGTCACAGTAAGAACTCAAGCAAGAATTCCCGGGGTTTCCATCCTTCTGGGTCTAGAGGACGAAGAGGTGGTGGGAAGACTGTAAAAAGATTACCCAGGAAGAACACAGGGTGGGGGGTGGGGGAGATAAAACTCCAGAGCCACCTTCAGAGGCTTCCTTCCTGCCTTCCACTGCAGGCCCGGAGCAGTGTTAGCAGAAGGTATGGAGTCACACCCAGACCCCAGGTGCCAGCAGTGCAGCACAGGTCCCCATGGGGGCTCAGACTGTCCCTGGCCACCTATGGAGTGAGTGGCATAGAAGGCTCTGCTGCAAAATCAAGACTAGTCTCTGAGCCAGTCCTCCAGAGGCTCATAGGGGAGGGCAGAGACACCGACAACTAGAGAGAAAGTCGGCACCTTTGGAGCTCTGAGGGCACACACAGGAATGTGTGCACATTATTCTGCTAAGCCGAAAAGAACAGGAATTCAGACCCTCAGAAAGAATGAAAGAGGACGGTCTTAAGCCTCAGCAAGTCAAAAAAAAGAGCTCAAAATCCAGTCACTAAAAAAGCAGGATTAAAGGTCAAAGGTCTACATCAGACATTCCAGGGCCTTTGATGGGACCAGCCAGCCACAAGTGTGAGGAGACTTCCTAACCAGCAGCAGACTAAACCAGACTGTTTACCACAGTCTCCGGGCAGGATGAGAGCTCTAAAATGGCATTAGACACACCAACTGGATTGGGAGCTCAGGACCTTGATACTAAAACCCAGGAATCCAGAGATCCTACTGCAACACCTCACTCCATGAGTATGAGGCCACTCATTTTAATGTTTATATTACATTTTGTTTTCTTTCCATGAGAAGAAACTGTAGGACATTCTGAGTGGGTGGGATCACAGGAATTTACCTGCATCTTATTTAATTAATAAATATTTATCCCAAAATGCTGGGGCGGTATTTGTTTTGTTTGATTGGTCTTTCTTTAAAAAAATAAACAACACGTAAAAGGTTTTTCCCCTAGGAGGAGGAGGTAAGACCCCTAATTCAGAGGACAAAGGAATAAGGCCCTGCTGAATCACCCTGACAGACACAGAGAATGTTAACAGACCGAGGGTGTTTAGTGTACCAGCTCCCTGGTCATAAAAATCATCTTTCATGTTATTATCTGAGGAAGGACAGCAATAAGATAAGAGACCCTGACAGAGAGACAGACAGACAAAACAAGATGTGGCCTGTACACAGCGTCTGCACCAAGGTTTATGACACAGAAACCAGGGGCATGAGCTGAGTGCTCAGTTTATGGTGACATTTAGCAAATCGAAGAGAGTCGCTCCCTTCTCACCAACCCACTCATCCTTCTTCCCCGAACTCAAAAAAGGAAATCTCAGAGGACTACCTTATTCTGTTTGGACAAATGGGAAAATGACAGAGAGGGCCTGCTCTGGTTTTCATACCAACAGGAGGGCTGAACACGACGGCCAACAGCTGGCAGGGAACCTTCAGCACTCAACACGGGAGGCAGGAAGCTGTCCCTGGAAAGCTCCACACGCCCCATGACCTATCAGCAGGTGAGGGCATCCTGAGAAATCAGAATATTCGGGAGGCAGCCTCCCAATGAGAGGCCGGGAAAGGTAGTCTACGGAGATCTTAGAAAGAAAAGCTGACTGGGAGCCTCCAAGGGGCTTCTCCTTTCTCTCTCTAGATGAGTATCCTTCAAAACTCCAAGCAAACCAATCTTCCATCTTCCCAAATCATTGCATTCAATTACTTGAGCTGATGGAGGTGAAAGCACTTTGTAGATTTCAAGGTGCCATTCCAATGTACTAAATTATTTATCCTTATGACTATCGTTAACTTACGACCAACCAAGTCTTTCAGTGCTGTTAGAAGGATGACCATTTAATATATATTTCACAAAAGTCTGTGACATATTCTCCAGTTATTTCTCATCTCCCCACAATGTCACGGTAGTGCTTCTTATGCCATAAAATGTCAGTCCTGTCTACGTGAATGCCAGAAAATTCTTGGTTTTCCTAATTCATAGTTTTGACCACAATCTGGTTTCTCTTAGACCCAGATCCAGTTCTTTTAGGTCCTCAGCTGTTGCGATTTGCAAGGTTAATTCTGTAAGGGCATTTTAAAGAGTGACACAGGAATACCTCCCCGCTAGAATGAGGAACTCGCAGATATCACACCAGCACCTCGCGCCTCATTTTTCCTTCTGTGCAACCTTCCCCAGCCCACCATCCCCACACCCACCCAACACACACGTGCACACATTCACACTGACACACACTCACGGAGATCATGACACCCCAACACAGGACCTGGCATACTGCGTGCTTTCTTAGTTGATTTGTTTTAAATCACAGCCTCTTTCACTTCAATAGCTAAGTGAAGTCTGCAGGTAACTTCAAGTGAAAGCCATAAACTGACCAAAAGAACTTCCATAAGAGTAACCATCGCTCACTACAGATTGCTGTGATACTACTTTTAACAGGAAAACACATGGCTATAAAAAATACACACTCAAGATTGAAAAATGCAACCATTTTATTCTCTGGATAATTAAGTACACTTTAAAGTTATCCCCATGCCCGAAGACAATTTACTTATTTATTCTTGGCACACATTAAATTGATAAGGGTTTGTTGGTGGTTTTTAAAAGTTTCTAGAGGGCTCTTGTATCCACTATCACAAAGAGAAACTACCTAGACTACTTTGCAAAGATATGGCCACGCATCCTGGGACAAAGAGAAAAAAATGTTTATCCAAGTGAAAACGTCAAACTTTTCAATAAGCGTAACAACCAATTCAGAATAGTCTAACTCGGCCCTCTTCCTTTCTCCTATTAATCCAATGGATAATTTTATTCCTTGCAACTTTATGGATGAAACTTATTTTAGTTTTAGCCAAGTAAGAATGTATGTGCAACCTTCTTTTTCTAACAATTCTTTTCTGCTAGACACACTCTTTTCTAGCAGAACAGAAGAGGAAAGGGTTTCACGTTCTGTTGCTAACATGAACGGCACCAATACAAGAAATGCGCAAACGCGTCTCCTACCTTCTAGAGCAGAAAGCTGCTGCTCAGCCTCCAGGTACAACTGGGAGAAGACGGGCCTCGGCACCAGGCTGCTGGACCGCAGGGAGGCCTCGATGGAGTTGTGCAAGACCTCTTCGAACCGGGTCGTCTTCAGCTGTCCAGCGTACGAGTTTCCCATCTTCAAAAGAGACGGTGGAGTCTTCTGTTTAAAATGGCATGTCAGTTTCAATGAAAAAGACTGACCTGAGCACGAAGCCCAAAGGTAGAAGGTAAAACCACTGCAAGGATGGAAGGGCTGTGTGTCCCCTGCTCGCCAAGAGGCGAGGGCGGCTCTCAGCTGCAGCTACTGCTGGGCAATTACAGGAAGTTATATAAGTAACAGCTTTCTCTAATTCAGCACTCAGATAGCAGAGGCTGACACTGCTTAGAATATGTTACTAGAAATTGGCTCTTAGTCATCCCCAGGTCTCACAGACCCCTCTTTCACATCCCTGAGATGTGATCCTGCCCGTGAGAGACCCCAGATAAATGATGCATTATTTTCCTTGACTTGCAGAATAGTCCTGCGCCACTTTATGTATGTGACGGCAGATGACAATGTGTCAGGATTACAGGACTCGGCCCCCCTCACCTTCTCAGAAGGTAGGCTAGCAGATTTCCCATCACTGCCTTTTCTGCTAAAAGGCCAATTATTAACATTCCTTCTTTAAAGTGTTTTCCAGTTTGTTATGTTTCCATTATACAAGTAACACAGAATTACATCTGGAAATCTGGAAATTACAAAAAAGAGTAGAAAAACAAGAGGAAAATCACCAATATTTCTACCCCCCAAGATAACCACTGTGATTTGTTTTTTTGGTAGCAACTTGATGAAGATACCCTTCACATACCACACCATTCACTGACTTAATACAATTCAGTGGTTTTTAGTATATTCACAGTGTTGTGCAACTATCACATAATTGATTTTAGAATATTTTCATCACCCCAAAAAGAAACCTCATACTTGTCAGCTGTTACTCCCCAACCCCTCAATCCTCTAGCCCTAGGCAACTGCTAATTTACTTTCTGTCTCTGTAGATTTGCCTACTCTGGAAATTTCATATTAATGGAATCACACAGTATGGGGTCTTTCCGTTAGCCCACGTTTTCAGGGTTCCTCTGTGTTGTAGCCTGTGTTGGTACTTCATCCCACTGTGATATTTTGGAATATTCTTTCCAGGCTTAATTCTGTTTAGAACTTGGGTTTAGGAGGGAGATGGGAGATGGCATCCACATAGTTATCATCATTCTATAATATAATTTTTGATTCTGCTTTTTTCACTTGACATAAGCATTTCACCCAATCCTCTTACAAATGCTTTTAAAACAATTTTAATGGCTGTATCATATTCCATTGAGTGAAGGGGCAGAGGTTTGCTCAGACTTTTCTCTCAGGTTATATATATGGTTAAATCTCTACACTTAGTCCTTCCCAAGAACTGGCATTTAAATTTACATCCCTTCCTAATGTTTCTGTTTATTTTCTATTTCATTAAATTTAGCTTTTTGTCTGTATTTCCCTCTTTCTATTTCCTTTTGGTTTAATTTGTTGTACTTTTACCAAATTCATTTTTATTTTCCATCTTACTTCTTTAATAATGAAGACATTTATGGCTATACATTTTCCCTTGGGTATTTCTTTGCTATGGCATGTAGCTTTAGTGTAAAGTGTTCTCCTTTCCATCTCTTTTTAGACAGTTTATGATCTCCCTTCGGATCCCCTCTTGGATCCAACAATTATCCAGGAGCGTATGTTTAATTTCTAAATAGTCAAGATTCGGGCAGGAAGGGGGGTTAGCCTTATACTATTTATTTCTAATTTGTATTGGATTATAATCACGACTGTGGCCTTTAGAAACTCTACTTTTTAAATTTGTTAAGGGTTTCTTTTTGACAGGTACTTGAAGGATTTTCACAAATACACTATCGATATGAGAAAAGAGATGTATAAACTCTCTTCAAGAGATGAAAGGAGATATTCAATTCTTCTATATCCTGTATATTTCCTGTCTACTATACTGTTAATTTTCAAAGTAACATTTGACTTAAAAAACAGCACAAGATGCCACCGCCGACGTGACCACAGGACAGTGGTCTCCTGCTCCATCACAGGCACGCACACCCAGCCACAAGAGTGTGAGACCAGCTTCACATGCCAGCACGACCTCACACATCACTTTGACTTAAGACATATGTAAGAAATTCCCCTTGTCCTTGTTCTGTCAGTGGCAGAGCAATTTCAAGATGGGACGCTGGTGCCCTAAGGAGCTCAGGTTTCCCTCCTAAAGGTAAAATGGGCCGCGTAGTCACGTTGATTTTCTGCCTCTATTGTAAGGAAGGTCCGGCCGTTCCTCTTCCAACTAAAAGTAAATGGACACCATTAAACACTTCCTGCTTGTAGCAATAATTCCTGACCACAGGGCCCCTTGGCCAGCCTCTGCTTACAGCCCGGGGAAATGAGCTGTTGGGAGGATAGCTTCAGGAATTAGCGCAACAAAAAGAAAGTGCTCCTGAAAGAGAGAGGTCAGCTGCGGAAGCCCCCAGCAGCCCGCATCAGAGGGGCTCCAGGCCCTCTCCTCTGCCTCTTTCCTCGACCTTCTGCATACTTCAATGCATGAATGACGGGTTACCGGCCACCTCTGGGGACGCTTGCATTATTTTCCATTCAGGGTGGTCCGTTTAAAGCTGCCGCCAATTAATAACATCACGAATGCCTCCTATTTCTATAGATCTTTGTCTGAAGAGCTTCACAAACACAGAAAGAAGCTTTAAGTCCGGCCCATTTTTACATGGAGCCCCTGCAGAATCATGTTTGGAAGTGAAAGAAAGTGATCAGGGCATCCAGACCCTACCTTCCCAAGGTCCTGCTCAGCTCACCTGACAGCTGGTTGGCACCCTGAGCCAGAGGAAGACTCCTCTGGTTAAGGCAGATCAATGGCTAACATGGATGGAGCAATGACGAGGAAGAAAGAAAACCAACATTCACTGTCCAGCTACTGCGTGCGAGGCACTGGGCATGCTCCCTTGCTTAACACACTTGGTAGCCAGGGGAAGGATGTTATGAACCCCATTTTAAAGATGACAAATCCAAGTCTCGGAGATGATAAGTAACCTGAAGGAACACTTATTGAAAGAAAAGAAATAAGACTGGAGATGAGGGAGGAAGGAGGTGGAGGGAGAGGGGGAAGGACGCAGGGAGAGAAGAAATACAAAAGAGACAATGGCATAGAAAAGTTTTCACATTCAAAAAAATGGACATTTCATAACTCTAAGCAAACATCAAAGCTTTAATGTCTATAAGCAAATAGTGAGAGAGAAAATGTGCCCCACTCTCTATCTAATGATGCATTTGAAACCATCATAAGTAAATAAGGATAGGGAGGGAGCACTGAGAATCGTATGGAAATGTCGTGGCCCGTTCTGTTATTCTCATTGGACCACAATCGAATGGTGTGGGAACTCCCCACTAACACAGCAGTGCTCTTACCTGCCAGCTGAGGAGGGTTTGGGATCAGAGGGCAGAGCAGGCTGAGGTGGACGCCCAGCTGGAGCTCTCTGCTATGTTAGAATCCCACACTTGTCAGACACGGAACTAAAGAGCCAGAGAGAGGAGAGCCTGGCTCAGGGTCAAACACAAAAGCCCAGATCCTCCCAAACGCCTCCTGGGATGAAGGCAACCCCTGTGAAAGGCCTCCTGGGCTGGTCCCGCCCTGCGTGGCTCCAACCACTCACTCCCTAGGCACTGTCTCTTTGCCAGACTCCTGCTGCAAGAGACTGCGAGATTTCAAGTCTGCCAGCTGCAGGGATTTCTTCCACGCCCTGACACGTCACATTCCTCTGCCTGCATTCCAAGGCCTGGCCCAGGTCGTCTCAATGCTAGTGCATGATACTCTCCAACCACAGAATTCAAAGCAGTGCCCATCACAGCAGAGACGACAACCACAGCCTTCACCTTAGTGCATAACCCTGGCTGTAGTAGACTGGAAACAGCAGGTGTGACTTACTGGGCCTTGGTATTCTCATCTGTAAAATGGGCACTTTGAAGGACTGACTGGTCATTACGGACAGTAAAAGAGACAGAGTGTGTGAAAGTGCCTAGCACAGCACCTCATAGTCAGTGCATGATCATGAATTTCTAGCTAAATCTGAACATTCACATGAAAAGATAAGAATTCCAGATCATAAATGACAAGTGACCAACAGTTCTATGGTCCATAAGAGCTGCAACATAAGGGGGGCTGGAGGGAATCAGTGAGAACTTGGGCAGCCAAAGGGGCTGGTATTCAAAGTGGGCCAAATAAGACGAGTAGGATATTTTTGGCAAAAAAGTTGGGAATAGCATTTGAGAAAGAAAGCACAAAGGCATGAAAGCTGCATGAATACAGACATGCTATAGAAAAAGGAAATAAGCTCATTTGATGAGTAGTAAATGGTTTACAAGATGGCACCATGACAGAATAAAAACAAAACTGAGGGTACAAATTAGACATTGTTTCGGTAGGCAATAGACAGTCCCTGAAGCTTCAGAACAAGGGATTTATGATGATAAAGGTGATGTCTTAGGCAAGTCAATCAGACAGGGATGTTTGGGATAAACTTGGAGGGAAGACCTGGAGGCAGGAGGCCTGGTGGATGCTCTTTCAACCGGACCCTTGGATATCTGCTTGTTTTTAAAAGAAAAGTCCAAAAAGTTGCTTGAAAACTCTGTACCTGGGGGTGCAGTTGGATGGCTGGTGGGCCTCACAGGAGGTAATCAGATGTGGGTCTATTTCACCAAGTCAACCTCAAATATAGCTCTATGTCAGCTCACATCCCAGAACCAGGACTTAACTTCCACTGGTCCATCTGACCCCAGAAGCACCTATGACCTGACCAGATGAAGCAGACTGACCCCGGGTGAGTCTGGAGTCACAAAGGTGAGCTATCTCAGCATGCTCCTGAGGACTGAGACATGCAGCCTAAGCCATTCTCTTCCCATGGCACCCGTAAGTCAAGCTGTGTCATTTAGAGGACTCAGTTAGAAAAAGAAGTAATCTTTAGGTTGAGATGCAGTTCATTAGAATAAGTGCAGGGCAGAAACTTCAAGGAAGATCAAGGATTATTACAAACAGGGACAAAGGAAGGCGAGGAGGCTTCCAGTGAAAGGGGACAGATGGAATACACAACATCATCTCCACTCCCTCCAAAACCACACCAAGAGGACAGTGAGGAATACATAGGTATAAAAACACAAAGACAGAGAGAGAGGAGAGAAAGTAACAGCAGACAAGATATGCCAACAAAACTTAGAAGATGCAAAGTGGAAGGAGAAGTGGCGATAGACTTTGAAAGAGTAAGAACTAAAGTCCAGTCCTGCAATAGGGAGAGGAGTCCTGAGAAGCCAACCAGTTCAAACTCACAACAGAAGCCAGAAAAGGCTT